GGCACAGCTTGGAAGGGGTGAGTTCCCTGAGAGGCCCTGGGAGGGTAGGGGGAACACAGGGGCTGTGGTAGCAGGAAGGGAGGTTCCCCTCTGGGGGCTTCAGTGCCCTCCTGTACTGGGAGGTGAGATCAGCTGTGGGGTTGGAAAGAGGATGGAGAGAGGCTTGAGGGGTGGGGGGGGAACTCGACACTGACTTGGAGCCCACAGTGTGTCCTTGAGGCCTGTGGGTCTCATTGAGGGCCCCTCTATGCAAGGCTCAGCCAGCAGGGAGGCTTGGGGCAGGCTGCTGGTTGGAGGCCAGGGAGCTGCAGGAGAGCCACGAGGGACTGTGTCGCTGCCGCCCTCTGTTCTGCTCTCACCTAGGATAAGAGTTAGTGGGTAGAAGTAGTGACAGGCACCCTCTCACCACACCCTACACAGGACCAGGACATGAGTGGGGACAGGCTTCTGACTGCGCCCCGTGCACCTTCACAGCTGAGCGCCTACTGCTGGAAGCCTCCGGCTGTCCTGCTTCAGGGAGGCCTCATGCAGATAAATTCTGGCCTGACCCTTATGTGCTAAGCACCGAGCCTGGTGCCAGCTGTGGAACTGCAGCTGACTCAGGCAGCCCATGGAGGGAGGAACTCAGCACCGTGTCAGCACAAGTGACCCCAAGACCTTGGGAAAGCCCATGAATTCAGGGCTCAGCAGTCAATCGGGCACAACTGGCTGCCTAGACAGGGAGAAAGGGTTCTGGTTCAGCGGGGACCAGTGCAGCCCCAGAGTGCTGAGCACAGGAGAACCCTGGTGGGAGGTCAGGGGCAGCAGTGAGCCAGACCTTGGGCTGAGTGAGGCCTTAAAGGTTGGTGAGCAGGATATGAGCAGGGAAGTGGGGCAGTGGCCGGGCACAGGGCCAGCAGCCTGCTTGGGGCCTTGGCCAAGAGTAGAGGGTTCGCATCTCTTCCCCATGTGCCTCGGAGAGCTCCTGCCTCAGTCCCAGCTGACGCCCGGTCCCTTCCTCTCCAGGCCATCCCCAGTGCTGCTGAGCTGCGGCATCCCCTTTGATGTGGCCAGGAACGCCATCCGGCTCAGCGTGGGCCGCAGCACCAGCCGGACTGAGGTGGACCTGGTGGTGCAGGACCTGAAGCAGGCCGTGGCCCAGCTGGAGGGTCAGGCCTCGTCAGGCCACCCTTGCTCATAGGAAGATACCACAGGACGCCAGGCACTTTACCTTCCGTCCCTCTGGGGGCTGTGCTGGGATGACTGTCTTGTCTCTCCCAGTAGTTACTCTGCCCTGGGGTGTCTGGGGGGCAGGGGTGTTCTGGGCATCCTTCCCCAGAAATGGATCTGCCCAGCCCCCAGACCCCACGTACAGCCCACAGGCCAGGACACCAGTGCCCACATAGGACCGTCCCCCAGCTACTACTGTCAGGTGTGACTTTGAAGTGGGACACTTCAGCCACGTCCACGCTGCCCACAGGGAGTTGGGCCTGTCATGAACTTCCCTTCCTAGAAGGTGGGGGTTTTATCTGGAAGGTAAAGTCCAAGTGCTTATAACTCATTTTCAGCTAATTGCTGTCGTGAAAATAGGAAACCTGGGCTCGGCACCTGTGGCTCAAGCAGCTAAGGCGCCAGCCACATACACCTAAGGTGGCGGGTTCGAATCCCCAGCCCGGGCCCACCAAACAACAATGACGGCTGCAACCAAAAAACGGCCAGGTGTTGTGGTGGGCCCCTGTAGTCCCAGCTACTTGGGAGACTGAGGCAGGAGACTCGCTTGAGCCCAGGAGTTGGAGGTTGCTGTGAGCGTGATGCCATGGCACTCTACCCAAGGGGACAGCTTGAGGCTTCGTCTCAAAAAGAAAAAGAAAAAGAAAATAGGAAACCTGACTTGCTGCTTCGATCATGGCCTCCCACGTGCGTGCGTGTGCACAGGGGCCCCTGAGGCCCCTTCTCGGGCCCTTAACAAATGCCCCCTTGACCGCCCACCCCTGAGCTCAACGTGCGGTGACTGCCCCTACCAGTGCTTCCATGGCCCTGCCTATCCCCAGAGGCCTGCAGGCGAGCCCCCCCCCCAAATCACTCAGGCCGAGAGCCTCTGCACCTCCTGCCCCAGGGGCTGCGGGCTTCCCTCCTCTGGTCTCTTACTCGGGCTTAACTGTCACAAGTGCCTCAGAGTCCTGGGCAGCCCTTGCCTGTGTGACTCTGGATCATTCCTGAGGGAGAAAACCAGATCCCCCCTACTCGGCTGTCACCCTAATTTTATTTGCAAAAGACCCTCTTATGTCCACACAGTGTCTGTGGTGTTGTGACACATCACACGTGGACATCTGCATAGGAGTGGGGTCAGTGCAGGGGCACCAACGTATGGTATGAGGAAAGAAGAACTACATGATGAAATTGTGGAAATTAAATTACCTGATTAAAGATTCTGATGTTTGGCTTGGCTGTCTCTGTGTCTCTGGGCACTACAGGCCTCTGCCCGGCACACCCGGGGCAGGGGCACAAGCGACTGGGTGGCATGGAGGGGTGGAGGGTGGCCTCGCTGCCAGGGCAGTGCTGTGTGGTCACTCATTAGCTAAGACATTCCTCTTGAAATTATTTTTCTGGGAGCCCCTAGAAAGTGGGTCCCCATTCCGTATTTCCTGCTGTCCTCAGGAAGAGGCTGCAGTGGTCCTGAGCTCCCTGGCAGGGGACCACAGGGTACCCAGGCCCTGAAAAGGACACTCTAGGGGGAGACACTTGGCAGCTACAGGACATGCCTTTGTGGCCTTTTGGCTGTGGCCACAGGACCCAGTTGCTGGGTTGGAGGTGGCCAAGGTTGGAGCTATGAGACCTGTGCCCTCACCTTAGAGCCCTCCTGCCCAGCACACCTGAACACACCCAGTGTCAGGGCTCTACGCGCGGTCACAGGCCCCTCAGGGCCACCAGCCTCCTTGAAGGTTCATGGGAGTCTCTAGGGCATCTGTTCTCAACCGGTGGGTTGTGACCCACAGGAACTGTATTAAAGGGCCACAGCATTAGGAAGGTTGAGAACCACTGCTCTAAGGCCAAGGCTGCCTGCGGGCCAGGTTCCAGGCACAGACTGCCTAGGGACACTCAGCTTTCTAGTGAGGACACAGCCCACACTGGCACCTTAGTGGGGTGTACATTCTAAGCCCTCTGGGCAGGGCTGCCCTTATGTGAGACTAGGAGAACAATCTTCCAGGGCCTCAGTGACAGTTGATGGCACACATCCTCACCCTCTACAGGTGAACAGTGGTCTCCAGGAGGAAGAAGTGGGGGTCCCTCCTCTACTGACCCTCCCCCTGTGACCTGCACCCCCACCCCTGCAGCTCTGGCAAGGCCTTTAAGCTCTGTGGGAGTGGCTTGGGCAGGGCTGCAGGGCCCATCCCCAAGGCCTCAGCCTCACCGCCTCCCATCTGCCCTGCAAGCTGCTTATCGGGTAACCAGAGCCGGCAGCTTCGTCCACACCTGAAACAAGAAGCCTGGGCCTGTCCACGAGCTGCTGAGAGCCTGGGACAAGAGGATGGAAGGGCAGCGGGCACTCACCGCTGCCAAGGCCGGGGATGTGGCCACTTTGAAGCAGTTGCTGGAGGCTGGCGTCCTGGGCCCGGGCATTACTGATGCCCTGGGGGCTGGCCTGGTGCACCATGCCACCCGGGCTGGCCACCTGGACTGCGTCAAGTTCCTGGTGCAGCAGGCCAAGCTGCCCAGCAACCAGCGGGCTCATAATGGGGCCACACCAGTGCACGATGCCGCAGCTACGGGCAGCCTGGCTGAGCTGTGCTGGCTCGTCCGCGATGGGGGCTGTGGTCTGCAGGTGAGCATGGACAGAGACAGCTGGCGGCAGTCCCCAGGATACAGAGGCCCTGGGCCTGGTTTCTGTCAGAATTAGTGGGTCTGTCTCTGCCCCACATCCCTCCCCAGCTTCCAAACACCACCAAGCCCTTGAAAGCCAAGGCCACCTCTCAAATCCTGCTCCTCACCACTCCTGTGCCAGGCATGGAGAGCACACATGCCCTTGTCCCCTCCCCTCTAGAAAGGGCTTAGGGGAGAGGTAATGGGGACCCGGGCCAGGAGCTGGGGGCCTGGCTGTGGTGGGCAGCAGGATGTGAACAAGGGTCTCAGGTCGCATGGCTATCCCGTACAGGGTGTTTCTACCAGGCCCCCACCTCCAGCTGCCAACCAACCCAGTGCCCTCCATGCGGGGGCCTCAGTGATGCCCCAGGATGCTGGCCTGAGGTCAGAGTTCGGAGATGTAGGGGCTGCCAGGATGGAGAGGGGTCCTCCTGTCACCTGACCCTCAGTATGAGTGCAGCAGCCTGGGCACCTGGTGCTATTCGGCTCTCCCGATGACCCTGAGGGCAGCAGCGGAAAGCTCTTTTCACATCTGGGCTCACTTCTGATCATGGGGCCCTCAGAGGATCCCCAGGCTTCAAGTGACACCAGGGCTGGAATGCTCCCTGGCCTTGAGGACCTGTGGCTGGCAGAAGGGCACTAGTAGAGATAGGACAGAGGCCAAAGGCAAGTGTCCCAGGACACCTGTCTCAGACACTGCTGGGCAAGCAGAAGCCTCTTTGACTGTGAGCACAGTGGGCAGAGCCTCCTGCCCTGGCTAAGCAGGGCGAGGCCATCCCTCCACGTGGGAATGAGGCCAGGATATGGACCCCCAAGACCTGGACATGGGTTCTAGTCCTGCCTCTTACCCTGAGTAGGTGGCCTCACTCAATTCCCAAGGAGGGAGACAATGGGAGGAAGGAAGGGAATGGAAGCCCCAACACAGGGGTTATGGGCAGTGTAGGGTCCTCAGCAGGCCCAGCCTTAGGCAGTTGCCTCTGGCCATGCAGTGCTGCCTAGCAGGGGTGGGTCAGTGCCTGCTGCCAGCTCACTGCCCTGCCTGTGTCCCGATAGGACCAAGATGCCTCAGGCGTCTCCCCACTGCACCTGGCCGCCCGCTTTGGACACCCAGTGCTGGTAGAGTGGCTGCTCCATGAAGGCCACTTGGCCACACTGGAGACACAGGAGGGGGCCTTGCCACTGCACCACGCTGCTGTCAGTGGGGACCTGACCTGTCTGAAGCTCCTGATGGCTGCCCACAGCAGGTAAGGAGCCTGGAGCCCCACCTGGGGTGAGCTGGCCTCAGGTGAGGCTACTCAGGTGGTGGCCTTTGGGGTGGGCCCTGAGGGCAGGCACCATGGGGCGAGCCTGGACCCACAGGGAGCCAGGCTGTCCTACTGCCCCATGTTTGTTTGGGGATAAGCATTCTTATTCCCTGGGGTTCCCACCCTGCACAGCTTGGCAAAGGCCTTAGGGATCACTTCTGTGGCTCTTCCCGAGAGTGTCCGCACAGCTCAGGCCTGCTAAGCAGAGTCTCTCAGACCCACACAGCCTTTAAAGCAGTTCCCACCAGTGAAACCCAGTAGACTTCACACACAGACTTACACGCCCCTGGCCCATAATCCCACCTGGGCACTGATATAGGAGCCAAGAGGTGGCTTCCATCTGGTCCCAAGCTCACTGGTGGCCTCAATGCCCACTCCCAGCCCCTGTGTTGGACAGCTGCCTATTCTAATCTGGGTTTTTATTGAGGGGCCCTGGCAGAGTCTCATGGGAGTAAACCTTCCCCCCCAAGAAGGCACCAAGGCACATACTCAGCACTTTGAAGCGCATTCCATGAGACAGAGGATACTTGGGCTCTGCAGGTCCAGGGGCCAAGCATTTATGTGACCAGAGCAGGTGTACTGTAGGTCCAAGGCCAGGGGCAGAGGGGAGAGGGGCTGGACAGGCAGAGACCTTGTGAGGCACAGGGGGTTCATCCAGGCGCAAGCTGTGGGTGAATCATTCAGCTCTCGGCCTGTTCCCCTTCTGCCAGCTGAGGCCTGTGGCTGGACTCTGAATGACCAAGTGGCCGAGGTGCTCTTCTGGGTGGGTTCCGAGTTGCTCCCTTCAAGAGTGGGGTATGAGTCATGGGAGACTGCTGAGAATGCTATGGCTAAACAGCCTCCCCCACCTGGCAAGGGTCTGGGACAGGTTGGGACTTGGTCAGCAGCCTCAGAGGACAGTCATGCTCAGCTGAGACAGCCAAGGAGTGGAGGGTTGCTCAGGTCCTGCTCTCCATGCAGCCCCAGTATAGCACTCAGCTCATCACAGGCCACCGTGGCCACCAGGCGGGCTGCTCAGAGCAGCGGCACTGGCCTCAGAGGAAACCCTGGGGGTGCAGGGGGTCAGCTTTCTGTCTCCACTGGGACAACAGAGGATGTGGAACTTAAGGTTGTGACCCTCTTGGGTCTAAAAAGGTTGATGTGTGTAAGCTGGACCTAGGAGTCCCAAGGAGAGGAAAGAAGGCCTATGGGCAGTTACCTGGGGAGCCCCAGCCAGGGTGAGGGCCCCAAAGTAGCTGCTGGAAGGCACCTGGGGATGAGTTCACAATGTGCAGGGTGTGGGAATTGGGGTCATCCCTGGGCAGGGGCTAGCCCTCCCTGCAGCTGCTCGTTGGGCAGTGGGGACACACCGGGGTGACGACCTGAGGGCAGAATGGGATGCAGGAATTCCCAGGAATTCATCCTGACTGGGGACTGGATTTTGAGTGCCAAGCCTGGGTGCTCATAGCTCCTGTCCTAATCATAACAGTGCCCTTTTAAGAGCAGGGCCCTGAGGCTGGGCAAGGTTCAGGGACCTGCCTAGCTGCAAGCTTCACTGTGCTAGGCAATCCTGTGCCCCAGCTTGATGGAGAGCAGGCCAAGTGGATTCCCTTGAACAGTGCATAACCTGTGCAACAGGGAAGGTGGGCACAGATAGTCTGGCCAGGTGCCCAGATTATTCCTGCCCCTCCATCAGGGCCACTCTCTGGAGTAGCCCAGACACTCATGACTCCCTGGCCAAGTGCCCTCTGAACGCTTCTTCCCCACAGAGATGTGAACCGGCGGACACGCAGTGGTGCCTCCCCACTCTACCTGGCTTGCCAAGAGGGCCACCTGCACCTGGCGCAGTTCCTAGTGAAGGACTGTGGTGCCGACGTGCACCTGCGTGCCCTCGATGGCATGAGCGCCCTACATGCCGCTGCTGCTCGTGGCCACTACTCACTTGTTGTCTGGCTGGTAAGGGGGACTAGGGTGGGAGGTGAACGTCCAAGAAGCCTGGACCCTGGAGTGAGCAATCCCCAGAGCCTGGGTGGGGGCTCTCCTGGGAGCTGGGGACACACGGGGCTGCTGGGGTGTCAGAAGGGCCAGCCTGTGGCCCACAACCCCTGGAATGCCCATGAGACTGGGCCCCATAGCCTTGATACCAGCCCTGAGCCTCTGCTCTGGGGGCCCCTTCCCCCAGGAGTCCCAGTGGGTCTCCTGGTCTCTCAGGGTCCGTGCTGCTGTGGCTGCTCTGTCGCCGGTGCCCACAACAGCAGAGCCTGGCCTGGGCCACTGGGCTGCTTGTTCAGGTCATGCTGCCTCAGACCCCTGGACCTGAACCCATCCCTTGTCCGTTTGGACCCTGACGGGACTATTTAGGCCTCTTCTGGGAAGGAGGCCCTGGGACCCCATGGCACAGAATGGCCAGGGTCGGGGAGATGGCCCCTTAAAGGATGGGCTGGGGGCTTCCTATTTCCACAACAGAAATCAGAACAGGTGGGCTGTCCAGGAGCCCTGAGGGTCTGTCACAGAGATCCAGTGAAGTTTAAGAGGAGGGAGGCCTTCCCTGGGAAGGTGATATTGGGGGCAGATGATGGACAAGGGGGAAGGCCCAAAACCAGTTCCCAGAAGAGGACTCAGCTGTTCAGAGGGCCTGCAAATGGGTGGGAAAGGCAGGCAGACACCCTGGGAGGACCTGAACTATTCTGAGGGTACTAGGGAGCCACAGACGGCTCTGAGCCAGGAGCAGCAGAATCTTACTGGTGTATCAGAAGTCACTATGGCTGCAGGTGGAGAATAGAGAGCTGCCAGCTGCCCCACATTCCGCGCTGGCCCTGGGGCTGGTGTGGTCCTTTTTATGTACTGCACCCTGAGCCTGGCACACAGGTCCCCAAGTGAACGTGGGGCCTTCTCTGCCCTCCCATGTGCACTGGCACCCCCTGCCCAGCCCTGTCCTGCTCCCCTGTTTTCTCCCCTCCGTGGCACCCGCCCTGGCATGCTGTATGTCCACCTCCTCTGCCTGGTGGGGTTCCATCTCCACCCCGGGTGTAGGTTCTGGAGAGCAGGACTTTGTCCATCCGGTACATCCCCTGCCTGGCCAGGGTGATGGAGATTCCTACTGGACGTATAGACAAGCAAAAGGAGGAGCAGAAAGCCCTGGCCCTTGGGATGGCATCCAGCCTGCTCCCCTCCGGCCCCAGAGGACACCGGCATTTGCCTCCAGCCTCCCTCTATGGCCCTCCCCATCCTGGGCAGCCCTGGCTGGCGGAAGCTTTCTGGACTGGGCACTGCCCCCCACCCCCCGCCACCAGTGCTGCTGCCCACATCACTCCTGCAGTTCTGACCCCTTCATCCCAGACCTCAGCCCCTGCACACCCATCTCCCAGCCTGGGCCCCTGGGTGAGCTGGTGGCTACAGGGGGAGAAACAGCAGCTCAGGGCAGGGGCATCCCTGGGTACAGTGAGCAGGTGTCCACTGAGCCCCTTGGGTTGAGTAGCCTGTTCTGGGGAAGAAACTGCCAAGCCACTGGGTCCCAGGGCCAGAAAGTCCACTCCAGACATGGAACACTCGGCAGCCTCCAGACGGGCACACTCACTCATGGACGGGCAGCCTGCCCCATCTCCGTGCCCAACTCACTGTCCTGACCCTGACAAACTTCTGCGTGCTGATCCGTTGGGAAGCTTTGGCTGCAGAAGGCAAGTGGACTGAACAGCTGGGGCTGCCCAGCTGAAGTGGCAGGGCTGGCCGGGTACAGTGATCCACACCTGTAATCTCAGCACTCTGGAAGGCCGAGGCAGGAGGATGACTTCAGCTCAAGAGTTCAAGACCAGCCTGAGCAAGAGCAAGACCCTGTCTCTACTAAAAATAGAAAAACTAGCCAGGTGTTGTGGCAGGTACGTGTAGCCCCAGCTACGTAGAGGCTGAGGCAGGAGGATGGATTAAGTCCAAGAGTTTAGGGTTGCTGTGAGCTATGATGATGCCATGGCACTCTACTCAGGGTGACAGAGTGAGACTCTGTCTCAAACAAACAAACAAACAAACAAGAAAAGAAAGTAACGGGGCTGTTCTCATCTCTGCTCTTCCCGTGGTCTTTCCCTCGTGGAGAAAGTTGGCCACATTCAAGGCAGGGAGGAGGGAGAAGAAGGGAGATACCACCTCTCTGAGGAGGACAGACTTCCTGGAAGACCCTCTGCATCTCAGGGGCCACGTGGCCATCCCACAACTTGGGTTCCAGCGAGTCAGCAGAAGGGCCCTGGAGGCCCAGCCTGGTCCTGTGGGCTAGCAGTTACCCATGATGAATGATCCCTTTTTCTACCTGTCCAAAGCCTGAGTATTTCCAAGTCTCAGCAACTCTTTGGATTCCAAAAGTACCAGTTTACTAACCTCAAGGTCTGTTGAACAGACGCTCCACGAACAACTTGAACAGGTCCTTAGTCCAGCCGTGAACCCTGCTCACTGCACCAGATGATGTTGTGTTCTTTGGAGCTTCTGATCGGAGACACAGGGGAAAGCACTGCAGACGGAATGATGATTTAAGGGAGACGGGGACTCGCTCTGGTCGGTGGCCTGGCTAAACTTTACTGATTACCTTATATACTTTCAAACATTCAGTAAGAATTTAACACATATACAAAGAGGTGAAGTAACATTAGGAAGCTACCATTTAATATTACAATTTAGTGTGAAGGCTGAGGAACACATATACAATTGATTTTGTTTAGAGTAAAAACATAAGGGAGACTGGCTATCTGTTCCTTCTAGCCCAAATAGAACTAGAGATTATAATGTTAATGAAGAGAGAAGGCAGAGAGTAGAACCCAATGCTCGAAGACCAGTCTGTTCACCCCCAGCTGCGACCCCCGGCTGATTCTCCACACCTCCTAGGGAGAGAGTCACTCTGCATATTCCTGCATATCTATAGGCAGGTACAGAAGCTGATCTTCAAAGAGGTGCTTCTCAGAACCAATCTCCTGAAGGAGCACATTGAAGCGAACTGCCATGTCTTGAGCAAGGGGTGCGTATCTGCAACAGCTAGCACCGTGGGACTCTGCCACTTAGGCCGGGCAGCACGCAGTGCAGTCCCCACTGCCCTGCAGGACTCCCAGCCTGGGCACTGTCTCTGCACTGGCGCCCAGGGGACATAGCAGTTCCCAGATGCCACGTGGTGGCCAGGGGACACAGCAGTTCCCAGACGCCATGTGGGGTCCTTTCCTTCTCTCTCCACTTCCTTCATCAGCAAATATTTGTTTATTGTCCCCCAGGTGGCAGATGTGGCATTTTTTCATTTGCTGTGATGTTGATTTAAGACTTGGGACTGTGGCATCTCCAGATAAAACCACAGTGCTCTCTCTGTTCCCACCCAGACCCTGAAGTCCCTCTGCCTAGGCTACAGGGCACACATGTGATGAACCATCTCTGTCCCAGACTTCCAGAGATGGGTCGCTGCCCCCCAAGAGGCACAGCTAAGGTTGCCCCCATTCTGCTCTGAGCCCCTCCCAAAGACCCTCCTTCCTGAGGGTCACCCTAAGCCCAGCCTCAGCTAGAGAATCCATCTCCCTTCCCAGGTCACATTCACCGACATCGGCCTGACAGTGCGGGATAACGAGGGGGCCACAGCCCTCCACTTCGCAGCCCGAGGGGGCCACACACCCATCCTAGACCGGCTCCTGCTGATGGGGGCCCCAATCCTGAGAGATTCCTGGGGTGGAACCCCCCTGCATGACGCAGCAGAGAACGGGCAGATGGAGGTAAGGTGACGGTGGGGGAATTGTCAGATGTCACCGTGGGCATGTCATGCCAGTGTCCCTGACCCTCACCACAGCCCTGGGGACAGGCTCGGACTCCCTCCCTGACCCTCACCACAGCCCTGGGGACAGGCTCGGACTCCCTCCCTGACCCTCACCACAGCCCTGGGGATGGGCTTAGATTTCCTTTCACAGGTGAGTAAACGGAGGCTCAGAGGAGGCTGATTGGCAGGACCCACACTCCATGCTTGTCCTGTGATCAGAGCCAGGGTGTGATGTCGGCCCCTTTGCTATTCTTTTTCTTTTCTTTTCTTGAGATAGAGTCTTACTCTGTCACCAGGCTAGAGTGCCGTGGCCTCAGCCTAGCTCACAGCAACCTCAAACTCCTGGGTCCAAGTGATCGTACTGCCTCAGCCTCACGAGTACTGGGACCACAGGTGCCTGCCACCATGCCCAGCTAATTGTTTTCTATTTTCAGTAGAGATGGTGTCTTGCTGTTGCTCAGGCTGGTCTCCGATTACTGAGCTCAAGTGATTCTGATCCTCACATCTTGTTTCCCAGAGTTCTGGGATTATAAGCATGAGCCACAGCACCTGGCCCCTTCTGCTATTCTTTAAATGAATCTTGGGGGCTCATGTGGCCCAGCCTCAAAGAAACAGCATCCAGAAACCTGTCATGAGCAGGGGGGTGTTTAGATGCTTGACGTCTGTCAGATTCGTCCCTGGCTTTGGAACATGGACTTGGCCATTTGCTTCTGACCCCTGCACTGGGGCCCACCTGACATTGACTCTTGCTAAGGGCAAGTCCACACTCAGAGCAATGCACACATCTATTCCTCCCAGCTCCAGCCCACTCTGGCAGTGTTGGATCCCTTCACCTCCACGGGTCTCCAGGGTTCCCGGTGTTCCAAAGCCCAGGGATTTAGGAAGCTACAGTCTAGAGCTAAGAGAAGTGTGTCTTGGCCGAGCCACAGCTGGTCTATAGAGGGGGCTGTCGGTGGCCCAATCTCAGCAGTGTCATTAAAAGAATCACACACAATGCAGCAACCTCGGAAGGCACTTGTTTGGTGTGGAGTTGCACCTTTTGGAGAATGCAAGGGAAGCCCCTTGCCAGCTCCCTCAGCTTGCTGCGACTGTCTTTCTCTGCCTGTACACCTCTCAGGTCCTCAGGCCCTGCTGCCCCTGTCCACTCAGCCCTATACAGCTCATACCCCATCTTGGTCCTCCCTCTTTGTCTCAGCTGAGATGAGAAGGCTGGGGCTGGGAGCTGAACCACAGGCCCACAGAGAAGAGGAAGTCTACAAACCCCCCACAGCAATCCTCCTAGTCCCACTGTGTTAAGAAAGAGGGGTGCCAGGGTCAGTGCAGGGGTGCAGGGGAAGAAGCAGAACCTGCGTGGGTGGGGCTCATGGCCAAGGTCTGGGTGGGGTGTGTCTCTGACAGGTAGCTGGTGGCAGGAAGAGGCTGGAGCTTAGGACTGGTGGACTAGGCAGGTCCCCTGGGAGACCTGGGATCCCTCTCACAGGGCTAAGCAGCCCTAGGATTTCAGACTTTTTTTTAAACAGCAAGATCTTTTCTCAAATGAAGTATTCTACAGAAGCCTAAGACATTTAACAGATAAGCCAAAAGTCCTCTCACCCTCCTCAGTGTAAAATAAAACAACTCAAGCCTCAAAGCAGAGAACTTCTTTCCTTTTAATCCTTATTTTGGAATTGAAAACACATAAAAGTATCATCATCGGCTTGTGGCTGAGCTGGGTTTGTCTTTATTGAGGCTGCCTCTCCCACCCCACAGTATTATTTAAGAGCAAATAAGAGAAATTGTATCTGTAAATACTTTAGCAGACATTCTGAGAAGACATTTTGAACACTTGTTTTTTTTTTTAATCACTATCACACCCAAAACGTAATTCATAATAATTCCTTAATATCAGCTACTCTCCAGCCTCATATCTACCACTCATTTCCCCAGTGGCATTATAATCAGGATCTAAACAAAGTCCACGTGTTGCTGCTTCTTCTGTTAGGGTCTGCGGACCAACCCCAGCCCCTTCTGTGTATACAGCCACTCCCCATCTGCCATCACCACCTGAGCACCACCCCTGACGCCCGACAGAGCAGCCCCGGCATTGGGTTCTTACAGGAGCTGGAACCCTCTGTAAAGGGTTGTGCCTCCTTATGAGAATCCAATGTGTGGTGACCTGGGGTGGAGAGGGGATGTCCTAGAAGTGTCCCCAAACGTCTCCCAGTCCATGGAAAAGTTGTCTTGCGTGAAATAGGCCCCTAGTACCAGAAAGGTTAGGAACCATGGTCTTAATCTGTTAACAGTCGCAGAAATGCACTTAATAATAGGATAATGCTTCAGCTCCTCCTCACACACATTTTAAAATAAATTCTTATTTCAGAACAGTTTAGAATGGTTTTAGATTTGTAGAAAAATTGGGAGAACAGGATAGAGGGTTCCCAAGCACCTGCACCCGTTCTCCCCTATTCTTAGTGACTTACGATGATATAGCACATTTGTCACAGGTAACAAACCAAAGGCAACACAGTGTTACTAACTGAAACCGTCCTTCATTCAGATTTCCTCAGTTTTGCCAAACGTCCTTTTTCTGCTCCAGAAGACCACATCACATTTGGTTCCCAAGTCTCTTCTTTGCATGATAGTTTATTTCCTATTTAAAAAGCAAAACTTCAGAATAACGAATTGGGGCTCTGGGGTCGCTAAGGGGAGCAATGGCTATCTTTAATGTATTCTGTGTTTCAGTTTTACCACATTCATTATTCTCTGGATGGTGTGAATTACACTGATGACTCTTTTAAAAAATTATTTTAAATCCTGATAAACACATAACATGAAATCTGCCATCCTAACTATTTCTGTGCGCACAGTTCAGTAGCATTAAGTATATTCATATTGCTGAGCCCCACAGCACTTTCATCTTGCATAACAGGAACCCCACATCACACACCTACTGAGCAACAGCCCCCTGTTCCCTGCCCCCCCCCAGCCCAGCAACTAGAGCACTACTTTCTGTTGTGTTGAGTCTGACTGCTTTAAAAAAGAATGTCTTTTTCCCCTCTTTTCTGTTGTACAAACTACTTCAGTGCCAGCAGCCCATAGGCACAGAGCTCAGGCTGGGGCCCGGCCAGGGCCAGAGTTTGACTACGTTAGGGACCTCTCGTAAGCAGCATCCTTTAGGGACCTCTCGTAAGTGGCATCCCTGTCTTTGCTGCTTTGTGTCTGACCCGCTTCACTCAGCCTAGTGTTCTCAAGGGTCACCCGTGTTGCAGCATGTGTCAGAGTTTAAACAGCAGCCTGTTGTCCAAGTCTGCTCCTCATTTTCTTTCTCTATCCATTCATCGGTTAGTGGGTATTTGGGTATCTCTACATTTCCACTACAGCAAATAGTGCTGCTATCAACATGGGGTGCAGACATCTCTGCAAGATCCTCCTTGCAGGTCTGTTCTAGCTGTATATATGCAGAAGCAAAATGCCTGGATCTACACTGATTACTCTTTGGCTGTTAAACCAACCTTGCATTCCTGGAATAAATTTAACATGATATATAGAGTGGCCATAAAGTTTGTGTGTAATTGCACACAAATTTTATGGACACTTTATATTACTTCTTTTATATATAGCTGAATCTAATTTGCTAACACTGTGGCCTCTATATTCTTTTTTTTTTTTTTTTGAGAGAGAGAGAGAGAGAGAAAGAGAGAAAGTTCCACTTTGTCACCCTGGATAGAGTGCTGTGGCATCCCAGCAACCTCAAACTCTTGGGCTCAAGTGATCCTCTTGCCTTAGCCTCCTGAGTAGCTAGAAGTACAGGCGCCCACCACAATGTTCAACTATTTTTAGAGACAAGGTCTCATTCTTGTTCAGGATGGTCTCAAACTCCTGAGCTCAAGCAATCCACTCACCTTGGCCTCCCAGAGTGCTGGGATTACAGGCAGGAGCCACCATGCCTGGCCTATATTCTTGAGTAAAATTGGCCTATAACATACCTTTCTTTTTCTGTCTTTGCTGAATTTGGGAGTACATCTTCTTTTTCTATTTGGGGGGACATTTTCTTACATTAGACTTGTTTAAATGTTTGATAGAATCCACTAGTGAAGCCCCCTGAATATGGCACTCTCTTTGAGGGAAGGTTTTCTTTTTTTTTTT